ATTGATCAGTTCAGGTGTCCAACACTGGCGACTCGAAATTCACAGGTGCCACCCAAGTTTTGGATGAATAAAGAGGTTACAGGACTACTGAGTTTATATTCCATCTTGGGATTTTTGTAGTGTTGTTGCACTTCATATGTGTACTAGATCACAGCAGGTTTTAATCGCGAAAATGGTTATCACATGGGCAGGTTTTACATTTGAAGTGGTACTACATGAGCCTAAATGAATTTTGCAGATGACCGACCTTGTTGTAGACGCTAGCGAAGGAGTGAATCTCTTGTGCGGAGAGTTTTTCGTCTTGATTCGAATCGATATAGTTTAGCATTTGATGCGCCATCTCTTTGTTAGTGTTCTTCTGCAAATTAACGACAATAGTAATAGTAATAAAATTGAACTGGATAGTTCTCTGATTACAGAGATCATGTCGTACATGCATCTCGGACGCTCACCAACGTGGAAGGCAACATGAAGGAAGAATCAGATAGGAGAAGGAGGGCAGCATGATTAGCGTACAGGCCTCTCGGTGAAGCCACCGACCAACTAACGGACCCAAAACTCCGCGCTCACCTTTTCGATTCAACAGTCTTCCCAGTGCTCTTTTGCGCATCAGAAACGTGGGTTGATACCTTAACCACGTCAAAAAGTCTACGCACCACCCATAGAGGGACTTAACGATGTGTCCTGAAATTTAGCCAGCACTGACCACATCCAACCCGAATACACAGCTCAGACAATCAAAATCTATCCCATCTTCGAATCAAGGAGAATATAAATCGATAGTGAAGCACAGATGGGCTGGTCATGTACTAAGAAGAAAAGATGGCATATTAACGAAAATATCACTGCAGTAGACTATAAGAAAATGCAAGTATTCTCTTGGAAGACTACCAAAACCGTGGGTTTTGTTCGTGGCTAACCATCTGATTTCGCGGATGGAAACGATTTCAGGGTTTTCGAATATTACTCGCAAACGTTGGCGTGTTGGGAACTATCACCACGGAAGATGGTTGTTCGAGGAAGCAGAAATTGGAAAGCGTGTTGGGGCCCGAACTACTAGTGAAGGCAAGCCATCCAAGTATCCAAGTAAGTATTTACTTGGATATTTGAGACTTGAACGGCCCGTCCTCACTAGTTCAGTTGTAGATCTAGTAATAATACTTACTTGCTTTATACTTGAATGACCACTCCTCACTGGTTGTGCGGGCCCCAGCATAATCACCATTTTTCGGAGATTTGCTGGTTAAGCCATTGTTATTTCCTAGAATTCCGAGGAAAGCCTGGCCAAAGTCTGCCCAAGGACTTCACCACCGGAAGCAGTCGCAGTCCTTGTGGATCAGAGGAACATCTGCCACCATGCGACTTTGACACCAGGACGGCGGTGGATCCTGGTATTGGTTTACTCTTAGCTAGGCTTTCTGATGGAAACACAGCACTCCTTGTTAGCTTGGGAGACCCTGCCCGGGGGACGAATCCCCCCGCTGTACACCGCAGTCTGACACCCAGGAACACCTCCCAGCCACGATGAGGCGGAAAACCGTTGGGAGGATCCAAGTAAGTAAGCAATTTAAATAGTATAGAAAAGCATAAATAATAGCAGTCATAGTAATAATAATTTGCTCTATGAGTAGATTTTTGGTTTGCAGAACATCTGCTCATCTTGTAGGTAGTTTCCTTAGCAGATAAATGCTCCTATCCATGCGGAATACGCTTCAACCACAGTTTCTCTCGCTGGACAACCTGCTCTCCAGTCTCCTCATTATTGAGCTACTCATATTATATTGAGGTGCAGATGTAGTTTCCACTGGACCACGAAAGTATTATATTATTCCAACGATTCGAAATTACAACGTTAATTTAGCGTTGTGTGTATGGTGGTTCAACTTCAGAAGATGCTGCGCAAAGCCATCGACGTCGATATGATGTCATCGGCAAAATTCATAGATGCACAAGAAGTAAATAAGAAAGCAGTCATATACAATAGATCATGACGTTTTCGGTCTCTCAGCTGGTTGATTTCATCCCCATCCTACACTTCATCGTCTGGAACTATAGTGGTCTGAATTTTAACCCTTTTATTCACTGCCTTTTTCTTTTTAATGGCATGGTATGTTGCAAAATATAACTCGTATATAATGCTGAGATATTTGCAAAACTCCGGACCGCAGGTGTATGCAGTGGGCAACGAACGCGCGCTGTTGTTCTTACCGGGGAGTAGCGCACTTCACCACCACACCATCCGGGTTCCTCGTTTTGCTTGTCTCTCAGCTAGTTCTATCGAGTTATACGAGTTGTATTACGCAACATACCCTGCAATTAAAAAGAAAAAGGCAGTAAATAAAAGCGTTAAGATTGTGATTATAACTAAGCCTCAGCTTAACTGGCTTTTAACAATGCCGATGTGGGCTCCCCAGATCAATCCCGTTGACGGGTGATTGCTGATGGCAAAAGATCGATAGAACTAGCTGAGAGACAGGCAAAACGAAGGACCCGAATGGTGAGGTGGTGAAGTGCGCTATTCCCCGGTAAGGACAATAGCGCGCGTTCGTCCCCCACCGCATACACCTGCGATCCGGAGTTTTACAAATATCTCAGCATTATATACGAGTTATAGTGCTCTGAGTTTATTCTTCGCCCTAAGCAACTCGTTCATCATCATATCAGTGATTTCTCGTGTTCATATTTTTCTTCATTTTCAATTACTGTCCTATTCCTCGCTTTGCTCTCTTAGTGTTTTTAAGCACAACCCTGGCTTTCGTGGTAAGATCATCTTCGCGAATATTTCGTCGGTAACTTAAAGGTTTGGTAGAATATTCTCCATTATTCCGTATGTTTTCTTCGTTTCAAACGAAGCGACTTCATATTCGGTGATCAGCACGTTCGGCCAAAGTGGCATTGTGGCTCTGCTTTAGTCTGTAGATAGTACGGTACGATGAAACAGTATACAGCTGTGGAAGCCATTAAGCAAAGTTCGTTTCTTGATTAAAGCGGTGCTTGCCTTGACGATGTCATGGGCTACTGCGCAGTTTGTAAGTTATAGTAAGAAGCACTCGATATCTCTAGCAGAATATTTTGAAAGATATTAGTCATTTCGTGTCAGTTTCATCATCTAAAAATATCTTCGGCACGGTTTAAATAACCTAAACTATGGTTCACGTATTCTTCCCATACCACCCCATCAGAACTGTTCTTAGCGTTTTTGGTGAGATGGTAGTTATGGTAGCTCGCCGAATCCTGTAGTGATATGAATTTACTCCTAACCGAGCCTCCGACTGCAATGTTGAACTAATCTTGTCTAGTTATAGTGCTAAACACTGAACACTCCGTTGTGGGTAGAGCCTTGGAACCTGGTAAACTCCTAAGCAAGTTGTTACACCATTCAGAGGAGGGAGCAGGAGGACTAAATAGGACCGCACGTTCATATACATATATGCATTTACCTTTTTATATACCTTTGACCGAATACTTGTACAAATAACGAACCTGGTTTTTTGGTTTCGTATAGCTGAGTTGGGCAGAAAACTCTTCAAACGTTAGATTTCCATCGTTGTTCACATCAGCGGCAGCCAACACGCTGTCGATTATTCTGTAATTAGCCTGCATGAAATGCCATCTACAAACGAGGAAGACAAGGCATTCATCTCACATTTAATTTTCTATTGTTAACTATGACCCACTTTTTCAATTTTCATATAGCGTAACATAAAACTGGTCCCAGACACATTCGGATCACTTTCTCATGTCCATTATCATCGGCTTTTCGGGTATGGGCTTGGCAGATACTTGAGGAATTTTTGGCCTCCTTTATGAATATTGTTAAGGTTTAGTCGAGAAGACTCTCTCTGGAACCCTACGAAAGATGCGCTAGGACGTCCCCAGCCCTTCACTACAGTCATTACAGTCATTGCAGTCATTATACTTGGTCACCGGCGTTTCCAGTTCCAAGACGAAGACAAGTCTAATACAGATTTTCACGCTTAATTCGACGTTTTGGGCACGTTAGAGAGATCTATGGCTTGTCTGCCCCTCGTCAGTGTTAAATCAGGGCCTTCTAGTTGTCGAGCAGCATCTCCATTACTTATTACTAGCAATAAACATAAAAGATAACATTCTAGGTCTACCGATGTTTTCAAAAGTGTCAACATGCTTGTCATGAACTTTGATGGATTTCTAGAACGTTTGAGAAACTATTTTTTAAAAAAACAGCATGAAAGGTCATTGAGGAGAGACCGTATTTTCGATGCGAATGCTTTTTCCCAAGAGTTCTCGTGTTGGAATTAAACAAAGAGGGAATCTACGCGTCTGTTTTTTTTTTATTTTTAAGAAAAGTCCTATAATTGAAAACATATAAATACACACATCAGTAACGATCACTTCAGAATATAGAAAAACCCATGATTTAGCGGAAAGATACTTTTCAGTTCTAAAATCATCGATTGGCATGACTGCTTCCAACTGGTGCAGATCGAAAGCAACGACGTTCTATAGCTACCCTAAGGTTCTTCCTGAACTTTGGAACCAATGTTCTTCTTCATCAAGCAGATCGTTGTAAGAAACAGCAACGTATAATTTGTCTACTGCCCAATATTCGTTTCACGGCAGAGGTATTATGTAAAATGCAGCCACAATGATGCTGAGATATTTGCAAAACCTGCACGCCAGGTCAAATAGAACCGCGATTGCCCTTTATAGGCGATCACCTGTTACCCACTGCACCACCGAGGCCCTCGTTCTACCATTCTATCGGCCCTATGGCACTGATACAGTAAAAAGACTAGTTGAGAAGAAGGTGGAACGAGGTCCTCAGTGTGATGCCGTGCGTAACAGGTGATCGCCCTTAAAGGGTAATCGCGGTTCGGTCTAGTAAGGCTCCAAAGTTTTGCAAATATTTCAGCATCATTGTGGTTGTGTTGCAAGAAAAGTGCTAGAAAAACAATTCCATAAACCAAAAGAATATCACTTAGGCTCATTAGCGTTAATGTGTGAAACTGTCGCTGGAAATGGACAACCAACATCTTGCTCATTGTCGTTCTGTTGTTGAAGTGTTGACGAAAATCGAAATCTCTGAAGCAGATGCAATTCCGATTGACATCGATAGTGAACGTAGAGCGAATGGTTATCAGCCAAATTCGACCAATATTCATGAGACGTTCGCTAACGCTCCATTATCAATGGATGTAAGGGGTATTGTTGAATCGTCTCTCCACATGCCACAAAATTTGAGTCACCTCAGTATATTCTACACAAGCATGAAGCTGAAGTTTTGGAAGCAGAATAATGGTGATGTTGATTGGAAATCCTCTACCATTGAAAACGAGAGCTCAACTAAGTACCGTGGACGACATATAAGCCGAATTCAAGGACTTTCTCGAGTTTTCTCCGAGTAAAAAGCGAACTCAATTGCCGGAAACGACTCATAGTCGTCTCTCATGTAGTCTACATTTATTTGACTGCGGCCTTTTAGGTGAACTGACGAATATGCAAGATAAAAATCCAGATCCACCTCAGGATAAGTACAAAGTCGCTTTTCTTCTGCTAACCCTGCGCTATTTGTGAACTGGATCCGCGTAGCGTAGCGTGGATCCCGACCTACCGGCTTGAGAACCACTCACTAACGAAAATTCGCCCAAACCAATGCGTAGGTGAACAAATATTCGGCTGATTAAAACTTCTAGAGACCGTAGAGAGTCGTTAATAGCGATCACAACCACTACTGGTAGCAAACCTAAGAGAAAAGCCGAGTATTTGGTCCATAGAATAACTTATGGTGCCCCACCGTTGAATACCGACCAAATGGGTCTCTTCAGGTACACACGAGAACATGAACAAAGAGATATCATATAAAGAGGATAACTGGATGTCCGCAAAGACAAGTAGATAAACTTCCCCGTGAAGCCAAATGAAAATTAAAAATCACATGCCGGTGTTCCTCGAACGGTGATGCTTGAGAAATCCTCCAAAATGGAATTGGATTTAACATTGGAAAATTTCCAGAAAACATTAAAGGCAAGTGGAGAAGGAAAGGATCTGCTTGACTTGTTCCTTCATCAGACGCATAAAAAAGATTAGAGAGCCACATTTTTAATGTGAGGGGTGAGAAGGAATGTTGATTTCTTTTCTTCTCGGTGTTGTTCGTCCAAATTGGACGAAACAACCTAAAGCGTTCTAGATAAACAACGTTAGTTTTATAAGTTAATAGTGTAAAAAAATAATGCTAACAAGACCAAAAATCGGAACCAACCCTGAATCGTATGCTTTCCTAGCAACCGCAATTTCCGAAGCATCAACGGTGCGGTCGTTGTTTAGATCCATACGCTACAAAAGAAGTAATTACTCAGCGGAACAAACTTAAGCCGTCAGTTTAAACAAGATTCTAGCAAAATTTACATAGAATCTGTCCATTCAAACACAAATGCAGAAGTTTATGAAGTGAATACTGGACTAAAAAAAGCTCAATTTTGCACTTGATAGCTGTTGAACTAAAATTTTTAACACAACACTTCAGAATGTTTCTAAAGTTGATTAGTGAACGTCTCTGGTTTACTGGTTATGTTTCTTCCTACCCTAAAGATCTGTTCGGTCGCATCCACAGGCTTTCTGCTGATTTCGTAGGCAAGCGGTACAAACTCGGACACATCTAATACTTTATCACGAGACAAATCGTACTTTGTAAATCTGCCTGAAATATATTGGAACTCGTGTTATTAATGATGTAATATCTGTTAGGAACAGCATTCTCTTGATAGTTGTCAGTTTTACTTGTAAATTATCTAAAGGCGAATGCATGATCCATAAGTTTTCGCTTTCCTCAATGGCTAACAGGTGGCCTCAGAAATATGTCGTCATGGCTTAGGTTACAGTAGATTCGCCTGTTCGTCTATTTTAGTGTACTGGAAAATGTATTTACGTTATATAAGGTTAAACCATAAACAACCTTAGGCATTGGTATCGTTGCATGCATGAACGTGTAAAGTGGACCACATGCACTTAATTCCATAAATAATCTCGGAGCTATAATGCTGAGTTATTTGCAAAACTCCGGACGGCAGGTGTCTGCGGTGGGAAACCAACGCGCTTTGTCCTTTCCGCGGAGTAACGCGTTCACCACCACACCATGAGGGTCCTTCGTTTCGCCTGTCTCTAGTTCTATCGATCCTTTGCCATCAGCAGTCACCAGCCAGCGAGATTGATCTGGGAAGCTCAAATCGTCATTGAACCCGGTTAAGCCTTTCTACTACCCTACCCTTAAAAAGAATAGGCAGTAAATAAAAAGGTTAAGATTGTGATTACAACTATAGCCTCATCTTAATTGGGTTCAATGCCGATTTGGGCTCTCCGGATCAATCCCGTTGGCGGGTGATTGCTGATGGCGTTGATCAATAGAACTAGCTGAGAGACAGGCGAAATGAGGGACCCTCTTCGTGTGGTGGTGAACGCGTTACTCCTCGGAAAAGACAGTAGCACGTTCGATCCCCACTGTAGGTAGACACCCGTGGTCTTGAGTTTTGCAAATATCTCAGCACCATTGTGGTTAATTTCGCATAATACTCTGCCGTGAAAATTGTAGCAGGTAGTAAATAAAAAAGCAACACTGTCCTTTCGTTTGTTTTCTATCCTTTTTGTACTCAATCGATAACATATCCAACATAGATCTTGTGGTCCATGAAGAGATATTCTATAAACTTAATGATTTTTCAAAACCTTTTCCCAGGCTAAATGTTAAACGCGCGTCGCGAACGGTCATCGCGTATGCGTCGAAGACTTCAGCGACACCATCGTGAGAGATATTATTCATCTAACCCAAAGGTCACGGTCAGTTTGCTCACATATGACGAGTGATCGTTGGATAGATCGCTTAGTGAAGCCACTTATGGGTGAATTATAACTGAGCCATGATGCACTCTTAACCGTGGAGAATGAGTGATACTCGACGTTTCTTCAAAGAGTTGCCTTCTTTTTCCTTTTTTTTCTTTTTTAAACCCAAAAATCCAACCACAACGCTGCTGAGATATTTGCAGAACTCTGGACCGCAGGTGTCTATGGTGGGGAACGAGCGCGCTATTGTCCTTTCCGGGGAGTAACGCGTTCACCACCACTTCCTTTGAATGAAACTCTCACTTTTAATCTCCTCGTCGCTCTTGATACCCAACTTGTTTTTGTTCCATTTTTCGAATTCGTTGAAGTCAATGAGATCGTTATTGTCTGTGTCCACGGAATCGAATGATGTCACTAAAATCACATTGAGAACAAGCCGAACTAAATAACAGCCGTAATTTTCAATCTATTCAAAAGTCTTTTGGTGAAGTACAAAAGATCTGTCGGTCCTTATATACCAGTGGTTAGTGGCGCTTTTCAATACACGTGTAGTATTTGGCTCGACCCCTCTCTCGGGATAATCAAACCCCTCCCTACTTTTTGATTGTGGAATCGGTAGACTAGTTGCCTGGGAGCATAAAATCACGGACTGGACACATCAATTAGTTACTTTGTAGGTAAGATATGCACAAAATATGCGCCACGATGCTACGAATGGAGTGAAGTGTATGGCGCATCATTAAGGAATTGATTACATCCTCGTACATCGTAACAGTAAATAATTAGTACTGACTACTCTTTCCTACCGTATTCTAAAATAGTACATGAAGAGCGGCAACCCGTGCCACTTTCGTCCAGTAATTAAGTGACAACACAAGGATATTCCAGAATGGTTCGTTTAATTTCACACTTTGCACTTTTTAGACACGCTGATCTCGACAATGGAAGACGATAATCGTTGCTCTACAACAACTCCCATCAGTTCCTTCGGTATTGATCAACGGTCTCGCTGTGGATCAATATCTATAAATTTGTTATTCGTAATGGGCTAGCTAACATAATACCGACTGCCGCAGGGTGGATCATCTTTTGAAAAACAAATGCTTATCGGCGGATAGTCATATTAACAGCAACCACTCTGGGTAAAAGGGCACTGCCGGGTGAGCATGCCTCATTCGTGCGGTGTTCCACTGATGAGAAGATCCGTCTCTGTGCAACAACGAAGACGTCACATGGAGAAGAGGAACAACTGTGGACCATTGACTCGGGTCGTTTGCTCTGATGAAGAAAAAGACGTCGAAACGTTAGCCGATTAGATGTTCTTATCAACATCGTGTAAGCACAACAATTTAAATAAATGTTAATCTATGAACTGTTTCAGATTAAACGCGAACCGATGCCCATGATACACACGTGATGAGATGCAGCTGGATGTACAGAGTGGTTTTACTGTTTCTACTGTGCGGGACTGAATGATAGTGTCGTTTTCTTGTTCAGCAATCGCGAGGTTTTTAAACAGCACACATTTACTTCCATAGAAGAACACAATACAATACAACGCTAGCTGACGTTTCGGCAGTATCGCCTTCTTCAGAGCCTGGAAGGGTATGCTGATATACAATCTACTAGGCCGAACGCTTCAATAACACTTACAAAAAGACGAAAAACTCTGTGGTAAATACATGATCAACAGCTCCTCGAACAACTCACCGCTTTTTACGTGACTTCCAATGAGGAAGGTTAGAACAACCGCATATGGTTGACGACTGCACCATCCCACATCAAAAATCATGGGATACAGGAAAATAGGCACGCGTAGGATACAAAAGCATAGCGGAGACGATTTTGAAGTAAAAGTCAATATCCTTGCACGGGAGTCCAAAACACCAGAGCGAAAACTCCTGGGATGGTGCAGTCGTCAACCACATGCGACTATAATCAGCTGCTCTAATCTTCCTCATTGGAAGTCACGTAAGGAGCGGTGAGTTGTTCGAGAAGCTGTTGATCATGTAATTACCATAGAGTTTTTCGTCTTTTTGTAAGTGTTATTGAAGCGTTCGGCCTAGTAGATTGTATATCAGCATATCCTTCCAGACTCTGAAGAAGGCGGTACTGCCGAAACGTCAGCTAGCGTTGTATTGTATTGTGTTTTTATGGAAGTAAATATATGCTGTTCAAAAACCTCGCGATTGCTGAACAAGAAAACGACGCATTCATATTCCAAAGCCGAGGTTAAGAGAAAGTCGATCCTGGGAACTGAATGATAGTTTTTTAGTGATAACATCTGCACTGGTGCTCGTCCTCCAATATCTCCAAAACTGGAAAATATCCTTCTTCTTGGACATTTAATCCAACTAACTGTAAACCGATGGCGAAAATCACCGTTTAAACAGTGTTGTCCCAAGTTGGCAAATTCTCTTCGATATAGGGTGGCTAGTGATTGATTACACATGAGCATGGGTTTAAGCGATTTCTATTGTGCGTGTCTATTCAAAAAGGCCTGTATTCAAGAAGCCTAGAAGTACGATAAATGGCAAGCGATCTCCTGGAGTATTCCCAACAAATGTGTTCCATATTTACCCCGGAGAATCCAACCGACCATAAGCTGCCAAGTGATTGTACATTCGCGTCTAACTTTAATCCCAAGAGAGCGACATATGCATACTACCTTACCGAAAGCAGGCAATATCAAAGGGCTAACATGATGTACGTGAAGCGCTTCACACTGCGAGCGAAACCAATGAGCAAGACTGACATATTAACTGAGACGACGACGGGGGAGTTTACAGTTTCCCTATAAGGTTATTTAATGATTATGGAAAGGGACAAGTTGCACAAGTGAATGTTTCAAATACTTCGCCGCTGTAGTGCTGAAAAAGTCATGGCAGGAACAACTTTGTAGTCGGGTATAAAGTCTGACAGAGGCAAGTATTCTAATTTACATTTTTAAGTAAGGTTTTGTTAATTCAGCTATCAAAATAGTCAGAAACAGTCAAAGCTATAAACTAATAAAAGGATACTGTGAGTTGAAGGATGAGGGATCAAGCGCCCAGTGTTAACCTATTTTTCATCTATCATTTAGGAATGCATCGCGCACTCGACTTTATTCCTAGCATCGTAGACTTAAGCGAATGTATAATTGGTTTCTACAACGACTATCTCTTTTCAGACAGAGGTTCAGACAAGTGCAGTACCAATTTCTCCAAATCGGAAGGGTGGGGGTTCGATAATTCTTGGTAGCGGGATCGAAACAACGACTACATGGTTACTGTGGAACACACGTAACAACTGCAGTACAGGTGAACTTCTAAATGAATGGGTGGAAGTCTACCATTCTCCATTGCCGGCTCTGTATTCGCCAAATAGGCACCTGCGACGAGGACGACGAGACCTACGAATTTCATTCCGTCCCTGAAACGTGACATTTGATATTCGGTGTAAGTCAGCGATCAATCAAGCACAAGCAACATAGAACGTATGCTTAAAAAACTAAATCCGAACCGGAACGAACAACAAGGATTCATTTCATCCTAGCTGAAAGCGATATTTAGCGCGTGCGCAGTAATGCAAGCCGTATATGGCCCATATTTGTGCAGAAGCCTATTTGCCAGAATGATCGTTAGTTACTGCATGCATATAAAAGCACAAAATAAGGGCAAAAATGCGATACTTCAGATCTAATTTCTTTTAAGATCGAGATTAATCGACATGTACAATGCAAACTTCATTCAGCAATAACTACCGTTCCGGCGGATTTCACTTTTTTCAGAGGCTGAAAGTGTTCATACTGATAAGCAATCTACTCAGCCGCACACTTGATTTATCCCTCATAAATGTGTCATGCATTCTACTCCATTCATAAAGATAGTTAAATTTATATCCGGCGTATGAAAAGTTTGGGTACCAAGTTATCGATCCCGAAAGTAAGAAGGGCTTCGTTAGCGCAATGCCTGGGATTAAACCAATCGCAATGTCTGTGTGGCAGACATTTCTAACAGTTGCGCTAAAGCAGTAGTACACTACGAAAGTATTCCAGAAGTACACATAGTGTGGACTAAGAAATAACTCTAACAAGAATTACGTCAAAGCAATTGTATTTTCCTGGAATGAAAATGAACATCAATGAGGAATAACAACAATTAATTGTGATGGGACAATGAAAAATGTTTTCCAAATTCTTTGGAGTTTTCTAGAGATAAAAATAAAGAATAAAGTAGTAAAGCATGAAATAGTATAAGTAAAGGTAAAGGATGAAGCTGTTTTCCATTGAGTTGGTGACGAAAACCTTGCAAACAAAAGCAAAGTGATCGTGATAGATGTTTAAACGAGTGACGACCGTGTTTTCGACCGCTCAATTAGATCGGTCATTCTATTCGACGAATGAGAGATCATAAAGAAGCACTGGAATATAACTTCTACGGAACATGTATAGGTTTGATGAGTCCTGCAGCGATCCATTCCTTTGGTTGTATTGCAGAGATTACTTATCATCAGATAGTATGCAGGCCTTAGCAGACCTTCGATTGGTTTCGTTGTCCTCCTAACATGTGTAGCCACATAGGTGGAGAGGTCCGGCCTGAGTATTAAGGCTCTCATTAACATAGTGAAAGATGGTTGAGCATTGTTTTCACCTGAATATCGAGATAAACATGACACGGTTTTCCCATGTGTTGACGCCAGTACTTTTGGATAGAAAATAGGTTAGCCAGAATCTTAGCAGTGACGATAACTGTTTGACAGCGTGAGTGCCGGAATGAGCGACTTTCACGTTTTCGTTTTCCAAGTTTCGTTG